GGGGGGGGTAGATACTATTGCACCGGGAATTCATTTTGTACATCGCAAAAAGTGGCTTTAAAAAGCAAGAGAAAAACCAGAATCTTGGTTAGATTTTCGTTCCTGGCTGTGTATTATTTTGACCCATCGGACACTTCACTACACTACATCCCAAATTTATAATACCTGAATTACAGTTCCTATTAACTTTTATTTGTTGTCAGACCTGACAACCATTCAGGTTTTGAGCAAATTTCACATCCACTCATGTCATCCCCTCCTTTTTGCATGTTGGTTACATAACTGCGTAACTTGCACCCGTACGGGCTCAGTTTCAACCAAGCAGCACGTGATGGGGAGTTTAATAAGAAACACATTCCATGGCGTCGAGTCAAACATGAACTCACTCCATCTCCTTCTTCTCGGCCTCCTCCTGCGTCAGGTCCTCCTCCACGCTGTAGTCCAGCACGGCGCCCACGCCGAACGCCTGGTTCTTCTGGATCAGAGGCTTGATGGCGTTGTGGTCCTCGCCCGCCACAAACTGGCCGTAGAAGGTCATCTTCATCAGCTTCTCGAACAGCCACTGACCCAGCACTTTCTTGCTCAACTCCATTAACTGTAAATGTGTAACACCCCCATTCTGTTAGCTGTACGTTGCGCAACAATGTTTTGCACGCCGCTGGCGTTTTTTTAATTATACTTTTAAATAATTACAATACGTGTAATACATTTCAAAATCTGAAATACACTATCCGTCTATTCGCCGAACCAGTATACAACGTATTGAAATCATGTTCTGGTATTATGAGCGCTAATTAAAGTATACCTACAGTACATTCATTTTTTTAAGGATTTCATTTTTTATTGAATCCTTTCAATAGCAATGATTCAAATGAATCACAGCTGAGTGGAACTGTCACATTCTTATTACAAATAAAATGATTGGGATTCCATTTTGTTTCCTCAATGTTTAACTGATGTCAATTTAGGAATTGTTAGTCCTCCTCTTCGAATAACTAAAAACTCTTAATTTTAAAGTCATATTTTCTTTGTTAAATGCTTGTAACAAGGCAACTTGTCGCCCAAGATTCTTTCGGATCTGATTCAAGTTGCTGTGTAACTGCAGTCCACGTGCCGACCATGCCTTCAGCAGATGTAAGCGTGCGGCCGCCTCACCTCCTTGTTCCTCTCCACCAAGACGTCCACGGTGCATAGCTTGAAAACCAACAGACTCCTGAGCAGCTCCACATTGTCCTTACTCTTGTAAGCTTCTTCTGTGTTGTTGAAGTCCACGCTGATGTTGCCTCGCGGCAGCCCGCCTGGGTCGCTCCTGCTCGGGCTGATGAGCTCCACGGGCGCAGCCTCCACCACGCCGCATCTTCCGTCCACCATCTGCGGCTGTTGCTGTTGCTCCTTCTCCTTCTCTTTGGTGGACGCCGCCACTGTTGACCTGCATCTTGTTGCCGGGAGGCAACGAAGCTTTCCAGCTCTGTTGGCCCGGACGAGAGAGGAGACGATCCTGTTGGCGCACGACATTGTTTTCGTCTGTGCCGGGTGGAGATGGCACGTTTTCCTTTTTTACTTGGCACGTTGCATAATGTTCTTCTCAATATGGGTGTAGGTCCTCCCTTGTCGACATGTTATGTAATAAAAACAGCCCTCTTCTCGACCCCCACCCCCACCCCGCCAAAAGAATGAAAGCTTTCAGTGACGTCCACACGTTTCCCTTTCGTTATTGCATGACGTCAGCAAGTAGCGCGTACAGGGAAGGATATTTAGTCAAGCGTGTCAGTTAACTTTTTAGAAAGACACTCGATTGAAACAACAGTCACACCTTCGCGATCACAATTAAATGGATGGATAGAGTCAAATAGAAAAAAGATATTATATTCCTTCATTGGCTCCTAGAAGGGAAATTCAATCGTTAACCACGACTACTACCACTGATGAGATTAATTTGAATACTGTACAGTGAAAATGAATTTACATGGGGTTTTCGGCTGGCAACCAGTTCTGTGTTCTCCGCCTACTCCCGAAAACAGCTGGGATAGGTTCCAGCACGCCCGTAAAATGAGTGAGGCAAAACCGGCTCGGTTAATCGATGGGTGGAAAATAAATATTTTTAAGATTAAGCTATCCTTTATTTGCCCCACATTGTAATAAGTCAATCTCAGGATTTTTACTTAAGTAAAGGAGTTAAATTAGCCTAATTCTACTTTTGTCTGTCGTTTTTTTTTTTTTTTTACATCAGGGTCTGTAGTTGTACTTATGTACACTATATGAGCGATTTGGCAATCTCTGGTATTTTTTTTAACAATAACTAAACAGTAAAACGACGTTTTGGTTGTACAGTGCTGTCGTTGAAAAGCATTTTTATTTTTAAGAAATGTTGTTCTCTTCCAAAGATGGCAGCACTGTAAGAGAACGCCACGTCAACTGCCGCATATGAAGCGTAAAGGAAGAAGGTCCCATTCTTTCTGCCTGGAATGAACCGTCGAAGAAGTCAGGGAAGCTCTTGTGTTAGCCAAGGCTGCCAACCAGCCATCTTACGCGGAAGCCGGAGGAAAGCTCGAGTTGGTCGCATTGGCGCAAGAAAAGGTGTTTGGTACATCCTAAACGGTAATGATTCAAGACGTGAAATATTTAAATAAGCTAGTACTTTTAAGTGAACTAGGAGTGCTCATTTTAGGTCGTGGCGTTTAGGCAAAAAGACGTTAGTTCGAACAGTGAAAGGCAGTTACACGAACAATACTTGGCCTGTGCTCGCACCTCGCCATTCGCTCTCACTGTGTTATTTTCGCCCGATGGTAGCCCACTAGGTTTTTAATCTATATATGTGTTGAGAGGCAGCTCTCAAGCGGATTACTTTTTGCATACAGCGACGCGACCGTGACGAGCCACTTTGCTCGCAACGCTTCGAGCTAGCCCAGGCCGACGAATCCATTTGTGAACTCGTCGGCCGTAGCCATGTTTCTTGAGGACTTAAATTTAACCTTTACCACGCCTAACTTCTCCATGGCCTGTTACTCTTTTCACATTAGGTTTTCTTAACGTCTCTTTTGTCGTTCTCATTGTTGTATTTTATCTAGCATTGAGCCCCACCCATGAGTACTTTGACCCTTTTTTTTTTTTTGCGCTTAACGATTGTGTTAAAGCATCGTCGGTAAAAAATAATGTTCCTTACCTGATAACCTTTTAATTTTGGTTTCACTCTCGTAGTGTAACACAACGAAATAAAGTCAACACTAAAAAATGGCTGTTGAGTCTCTTGAAAAGCACAACATATTCCTGATAATCAAGCCTGCTGTTGATCTTTATTAGACGGTATCCCGCTTTAGCTAAAAGTAATCACTGTGGCTTTATTAGAACATACCCTGATTCATTTTGTGAAACTCGTTGTGTTTCACTTAAAATTTGAAGTTGCATTCTGGTCCAGTTGTACTGAATGTTTCAAGCTGCTTAACCAAGTGTATTCACTGCATTCTAAAACTTTCAGGTCTGGATTCTCAGTACACACCCCTTTGTCTCGGGCTCATCATCTGATCAAAACAAGTCTTGTTTTATAATTTTTATCATTGATTAAGATAAGGAATTGGAGCATTGGACAAGCATTAGTATAACAAGAGCTACAGCTACAAAAACAAGTGAATTTACAGTCAAAGGTGCCCAAAATTCCCTCTCTGTGTCAGCAGCAGGGCATCTTATTCCTTCACCATGTCGGAGGGCCGGATCTATGTCGGGAATCTGCCAATGGATGTCCAGGAGAGGGACATTGAAGATCTCTTCTACAAATATGGAAAAATTCGTGAGATTGAATTGAAGAACAACCGAGGCACTATCCCGTTTGCCTTTATTCGATTTGAAGACCCACGGTGAGTTTTGGGATGGATCCAGCTTCATCCCCATTGGGTATCAAGTGTTTTCTGTAATAGTTCCTCAAGTGCTCCCGGCAGGAAATGGATCCGCAACATGTCTGTAACCGGCCCACCTAGGTAAGGAGTTCTGTGCTCTCTTCTCTTAGGGATGCGGATGACGCAGTCTATGGAAGGAACGGATATGGATATGGAGACTCCAAACTACGTGTGGAGTATCCTCGATCCTCAAGTAAATTTAATCCAATGGGAGGTGGAGGTGGTGGTGGAGATAGAGGAAGTGGACCCAGAGGACGATTTGGACCCCCGACACGGAGGTCTGAGTTCCGTGTGATAGTGACTGGTAGGTGGACATCTACAGTTGTAGCCCATTAATAATACCCCTTGGATGTCAAGTGGACCATTAGGAAGTGGACATGCAGAGTCTCAGGTGTCTCTTGCCCTCCCATGGCGGACGACAGCATAAAGGGACTTGTAGTTAGAAGTCAGGAGCTGCAAGGTAGCTATATCTCATAGCAGATGGATGACAAAGGCACTCGTAAGATGCAAGGCAAGAATTGTTGACGTGTGTCCTCCTCGGTCTCTAAGTGGCGGACTGGAGGACAAGCGGACAAACTGATGGCCGTCAAGAGTCATAGGCAGGTCTTGGTCCTGTTTGAAGGTCAAAGAGGGACGTCCCAGATTATTGGCAGGCATTTTTTTCTTTCATCCAAGGCGGACTGCAGCATACAGGGACTAAGAGGACAGTGGATTTACGGTCTTTATTTCACGGCGGACCGCAGGACAAAAGGACTGGTAAAAAAGTGGACATTCAGACGCAGATGTTTCTTGCTCCCATGGTGGACTTCAGTGTAAAGGGCCTGGTAGAGAAAATCTTATCTTGTCCTCCTTGCTCTTTCATGGTGGACTCAACAACAAAAGGACTTATTGGACAGTTAACATTCATAGCAACTATATGCAAGTCATGACTATGGAGCTGAAATCCTTGCTCTCTCATGGAGGACTGGAGGACAAAGGTGAGATGGATTTCACCAGTCGCAGTCTTGTATCACTGAACATGGCCTGAAGGACAAGGCCCATAATAAAGGAAATCCAGAGTTATCGGAAGAAGTTTTTCTTTCACTCATCGTTATCCGACTTGTAGACTGAGATCATGAATCACAGGCAGATAGGTCTTGCTCAATTATGGAGATTGTGAGAAGGAAGAGACAAGTGGATGGATGTCCTGAGTCGTAGTCAGATACTGTAAATCACTCACAGTGGACTGTACACAAGTAGAGGATGTCATGAATCATAGCCTGTCCATCTTTTTGACGGTGCACCGAAGAGACTACTAGGAAGGATGGACAAAAATGATTGGCGGATGTTCATTCATGAGAACAGTAGCACAAAGTGACCCTTTTTGACGGTGCACCGAAGAGACTACTAGGAAGGATGGACAAAAATGATTGGCGGATGTTGGGGGGGGGGGTCGCTCTCATGGTAGAGTGAACCACAAAGGGACTACTAGCAGAATGTCATGAGTCACAGGCAGGTGTTAAAAAGTGTGAACTGAAAGACAATGGGTCCAGTTGTCACAAGGATGCACAAATTTGTAGGAAACATTTTTTCGTCACTCATGGCGGACTTGACCTCAAGTGGACGAGTAGAAAAGTGGAATACAATCATTGCCGTTTCTCATGGCAGGCCACAGTATGAAGGGACTTGTTGGAAGTGATGAGTCAGAGGCAGATGTTTTTCACCTTCTCATGGCAGACTGAAAGACAAAGGCACTAAATGGATGGATGCTAGCGACAAGTCTAGGTGATGGCGGAGTGAAGGAAGTCATGTGGTGGACCGGAAGGATGAATATATGATTGGAAAGAAAGTTGCATTTCTATCACGGTGGTCAAGGTGCCTGAAGTGGATTTCACGTTGGGTAGAGTGAATGAAATCTTCATATTCACGAAAACGGTGACTGGTAGGTCCTTGTCAGTCTTATCTTTAGGCCCCTTGTTTCAGGCGAACCCTTTGAAGCTTAGGCCTTTTAAAGGTTTTGTTGATTACATGAGAATTTGGTAGAGTTGCATCCCACAAGTGTTTGTTGGGACTAATGTCGGGGCTCCCTTGAATAGACGAACGTCCAAAAAATGTGATTGGGTAAGAAGTTAATTTGGACAGTTTAGATTTCACTATCGGTGTTTGCCGTCTCAGGATTACCGCCAAGTGGCAGTTGGCAGGATCTGAAAGATCACATGCGCGAGGCAGGCGACGTCTGTTTTGCCGACGTGCAGCGCGATGGGGAGGGCGTGGTGGAATTTCTCCGCCGAGAGGACATGGATTACGCTTTGCGCCGACTGGATCGCACAGAGTTCCGTTCTCACCAAGTGAGTGGAAGACCCCGTGGTACGCCCCTCCACGTCGGCCAGCGGAGCGCACATTCACTCTTGTCCTCGTTTGCAGGGTGAGACCGCTTACATCCATGTCTACGAGGATAGAGGCACCCCCAACTGGGGTCGCTCGCGGTCCCGCTCCAGATCCAGAGGACGCTTTTCGCCGCCCTACCGAGGATCACCACCACCACGTTACCAGTCCCCTCCTCGCATGTCCCGCCATAGTCCGCCTCGGAGATCATCCAACCACAGCCCGCCACCTCGTCACTACCGCTAAAAGCTTAGGATTCACGGAGGAAACTAAGGAGAATGTTCTTTTTTTTTTTTTAAACCACCTTTGCCATCGTAAGACTTTGTTTCTTCCTGCATACATTCCATGGCTACTTCCCTTTTTGTGTGTGTGTGTAACTTTAATATCCTTGTGTGTTGTCTCCGCGCAAGATTTTGACCCATTTGATATGCATCCTGAATTAGTTTGCTCAAATTACTTTTCACAATGTTAAAATATCGAGCAGGTATAGCTTTGCAGCTTTAGCTTAGAAAATTGTTTTCGTGTAGAATCTGATGCTAATCTGATTTAGAACAAATTAGTGAAACTTCAAATCTCGACACTGCAAACCATATATTTTTTTGTAAGCATCTGACTGAAGTAGATGGAATTACCATTTTGTGTGCATCTGTACTTTTACAATAAAATGTTAACTTTCTATGATTTTGTCATTAATTTAAAATGTTATCACTGCAGAATACAACTACAGCGTAATGTTGAGGTACCAATACAAATTTAATTTGTTCAAACTGAGACAAATCCTGCATGCTGGTTGGATGTATTGTTCTCTGCGGCCCTCTTCTCGACCCCCCCACCCCCACCCCGCCAAAAGAATGAAAGCTTTCAATGACGTCCACACGTTTCCCTTTCGTTATTGCATGACGTCAGCAAGTAGCGCGTACAGGGAAGGATATTTAGTCAAGCGTGTCAATTAACTTTTTAGAAAGACACTCTCGATTGAAACAACAGTCACACCTTCGCGATCACAATTAAATGGATGGATAGTCAAATAGAAAAAAGATATTAGATATTCCTTCATTGGCTCCTAGAAGGGAAATTCAATCGTTAACCACGACTACTACCACTGATGAGATTAATTTGAATACTGTACAGTGAAAATGAATTTACATGGGGTTTTCGGCTGGCAACCAGTTCTGTGTTCTCCGCCTACTCCCGAAAACAGCTGGGATAGGTTCCAGCACGCCCGTAAAATGAGTGAGGCAAAACCGGCTCGGTTAATCGATGGGTGGAAAATAAATATTTTTAAGATTAAGCTATCCTTTATTTGCCCCACATTGTAATAAGTCAATCTCAGGATTTTTACTTAAGTAAAGGAGTTAAATTAGCCTAATTCTACTTTTGTCTGTCGTTTTTTTTTTTTTTTTTTTACATCAGGGTCTGTAGTTGTACTTATGTACATTATATGAGCAATTTGGGAATCTCTGGTATTTTTTTAACAATAACTAAACAGTAAAACAACGTTTTGGTTGTACAGTGCTGTCGTTGAAAAGTATTTTTATTTTTAAGAAATGTTCTCTTCCAAAGATGGCAGCACCGTCAGAGAACGCTACGTCAACTGTCGGATATGAAGCGTAAAGGAAGAACGTCCCATTCTTTCTGCCTGGAATGAACCGTCGAAGAAGTCAGGGAAGCTCTTGTGTTAGCCAAGGCTGCCAACCAGCCATCTTACGCGGAAGCCGGGGGAAAGCTCGAGTTGGTCGCATTGGCGCAAGAAAAGGTGTTTGGTACATCCTAAACGGTAATGATTCAAGACGTGAAATATTTAAATAAGCTAGTACTTTTAAGTGAACTAGGAGTGCTCATTTTAGGTCGTGGCGTTTAGGCAAAAAGACGTTAGTTCGAACAGTGAAAGGCAGTTACACGAACAATACTTGGCCTGTGCTCGCACCTCGCCATTCGCTCTCACTGTGTTATTTTCGCCCGATGGTAGCCCACTAGGTTTTTAATCTATATATGTGTTGAGAGGCAGCTCTCAAGCGGATTACTTTTTGCATACAGCGACGCGACCGTGACGAGCCACTTTGCTCGCAACGCTTCGAGGTAGCCCACGCGTCGGTTTTAGCCATGTTTCTTGAGGACTTAAATTTAACCTTTACCACGCCTAACTTCTCCATGGCCTGTTACTCTTTTCACATTAGGTTTTCTTAACGTCTCTTTTGTCGTTCTCATTGTTGTATTTTATCTAGCATTGAGCCCCACCCATGAGTACTTTGACCCTTTTTTTTTTTTTCCGCTTAACGATTGTGTTAAAGCATCGTCGGAAAAAAAAAAAGTTCGTT